TTGCCTAAGACCTGGGACCAGGGATATTGCCTAAGACCTGGGACCAGAACTTTTAGGATTGAAGTTAGGACAGACTTCTACATGCAGAGGGTGACTGAAATTAGAATTCTCTTCCACAAATGGCAACTGCTGCTGGATGAACTGTTAGTTTTAAAACTTAAGTGATAGATTTTCATTAATCATATGTATTAGTGGATATGACCAAAGATGGCTATATGGAGTTAAGTTACATATCAGTCAGGTAATTCTGTCCCTAAGGGCATTGTGTGTCGTCCCACAGCAGGTGGACTGCAGGGGTTCAAGAAGGCAGCTTGTCACCAACCTTCTTAAGGGCAACTAGGGACGGGCAAGAAATGCTGGCCAGCCAGCAATGTCACATCCCACAAAATGAATGAAAAAAAGACCCATGATGTCATTAAATGCCAACTTTCCCCTTGATGAAGGGCTCAGTGACCAGGGGACATAGATTTAACGTAAGAAGATTTAGACGGGATGTAAGGAAGAAAGATTTCACCTAGACAGTGGTAGGAATCTGGAACTCGCTGCCCATAAGGGTGGTAGAGACAGAAACCCTCGTAACAATCAAGAATTATTTACATGGGCACTTGCAGTGCCAAGGCAGACAAGAATGTGGGCCAAGTGCTGGAAAATAGGATTAGAATAGTTAGTTTTGACTGGCACAGACTCGCTGGGCTGAAGAGTCTTTTTCAGTGCTAGAGACCTCTCTTAATCTAATGACAAAACAGATCTGAGTTGTTAAATGGTTTCCTTGTTCCTGTTAGATTACTGGGTTTGGTTATGGGCCGAATGAAGGGTCAGAACTTAGAATTTGAGACAGGCCAGTCAGGTATGATAGGTCAGGAAGCACACCTTTTATAAAATGGAAATCTGGAATTCTTTCCTGAAAAAACATTTGAGACTCTGATTGAAAAATTTGAAACTGCAGTTGATAAACTTTGTTAAACCAAGACGTTAAGGAGTACAGAGGCAGCTGAATGGAGTTAAGACACAGAAATGATTAATCTAATGGAATGGCAACTTTGATTCCAAGGGCTTTCCTGCTCCTCTGACGCTGCCTGGCCTGCTGTGTTCATCCAGCTCTACACCTTGTTATCTCCTTCTGTTCCAGTCTTCATAGTTATTGTCGTGGCTGCAATCAGTCACTTGACCATGGATAACATTGTGAAGTGAGAGAAAAGACTGCACAGTTCATAGAATCCCTACAGTTTGCAAGCAGGCCATTTGGCCCATCAAGTCCATACCACTCCCCCAAAGATCGTCCTACCCAGGCCCACCCCACTACCCTGTCCCTGTAACCCTGCAATTTCCCATGGCTAATCCACCTAGCCTGCACATCTTCGGACTGCGGGAGGAAACCCATGCAGACACAGAGAGAATGTGTAAACTCCATACACCCAGTCACCCAAGGGTGGAATTGAACCCAGGTTGCTGGAGCTGTGAGGCAGCAGTGCTAACCACTGAGCCACCGTGCTGCCTGTTAATGTGCAACTGTCCATCTGACCTAAATCTAGTTACACTCAATCCTTCGCTAATCTAGGCTTGCTAAGAGTCCCTCTGCTAAAGTGTCAAGTGGCCTGTGCAGTAAATGCTAGCTCTGCTAATCTGCATTTCTGTTTGCTGAGCCGTTATGAATGCTTTGTGCATCAGAAATCTATCTGAGATGTGGCTGATGTTCCTCAAAGGCAAAATGTTGTTCCAAAAGAGAATTTTGTGCAATACAACTGGTTAGAATTTAGACACTGCTGTTTTGAAAAGCTGCTGGCTCTCTTTGCCATTGCCACTAAACCCCTGGATTAGCTTCTGATTTCCCAAATAACATGAATAGTTCTGTCAGTCTCAATCCTTTGCAAATGCTAGAATCTCAGATTATCAGCTGTTCATGCTGGCACTGGACTATGGAAAGCTGATTATAGAAACCTCAACAGGATATGAATGACCCTCACCGCCTCCCCCCAATACCCCCAGACAGTGACTGGGCCCCAACAGGAGGTAAACCTTGACTCCAGGCAGTGTTTGTGGCCTGATGGCTGAATCTGTGACTCTGAGTTCAGAGTTGGGATCCCACCAAAGGATAAATTGTGAAATTGGGTATTTATGGACTTGTGTCAAAGGTTTAGGGCGAAAAGCCCAACTGGCTCAGAAGGAAACCTGGCATCAATGCCTTTGGCAATGAATATTGGACCCACTCCAAGTGGCATCAGAATAAATAATAAAGGGTCCTTTCCCATGTTACCCATATCCCAAAGATCAAAAGGATGAACCAGAACCCACCAATGGTCTCTGTATTTATTCCCATTCTGATATTCCTTCCTGTATCACTTCTGTTTCTCTCTGTCTGTCTTCCCCCTTTTGTATTGGGCAGGGGAAAGGTATATTTATTCCTGAGGATATAGTAATGCACAAATGTAGTTGGACCCTAGGAATGTATCTAGTACATATGGGGTGGCACGGTGGCTCAGTGGTTAGCACTGCTGCCTCACAGTGCCAGGGACCTGGGTTCGATTCCACCCCTGGGTGACTGTCTGTGTGGAGTTTGCACATTTTCCCCGTGTCTGCGTGGGTTTCCTCCGGGTGCTCCAGTTTCCTCCCACAGTCCAAAGATGTGCGGGCTAGGTGGATTGGCCGTGCTAAATTGCCTGTAGTGTTCAGGGGTGTGTAGATTAGGGGGATGAGCCTGGGTGGGATGCTGAGTGTCAGTGTGGCTTGTTGGACCAAAGGGCCTGTTTCCACACTGTAGGGATTCTGTGACTCTGAGTGTACCATCAGTCTATGGATAGTATATTCACCTGACACCACCACACCTCTGCCACCTGCACTGTAGTACCCTGCACTCTGAGCATTGATCAAGCTGATGTAACACATTTTACTGAGCTGCTCAGCTTATTGCAGTAGATTTTCCCTCTGTGTTAGACAGTTCAAAGTTTAAAGTTTTTTAGTTTTGTTATGGTTGAGATATACGTCCAGGCAATCCTCCCTCCCTCCTTGCTAACAGTGACACCCTGTGGTCAGTTGGTCCTGTGGCTCCAAACTGTTGTCACTCAGGTAGAGAGCTGGAAGTTAGTACTTTTACCTCTCATCTGAAATGGAGGAGGATATTGAATATACAATACTCAAACCAGATCTCTCCTATCTCCTTCCCTGATGTTTCCCTGCATGATTGAGCAGAGCTGAGCTGGGGAGAGAGGAAGACGTGGTCTTGGAGGTTCTCAGATTTAAAATAGTTCATTCAGGGAATGGCTGTATTGCTGGCTGGGACAGCATTTATTGTCCATCCTTCGTTGCTCTGGAGAAGGTGGTGCAGAGTTACCTTCTTAAACTGTTGCAGTCCACTGGGGTACAGGTGGATCCACAACACAGTTAGGGAGGGAATTCCAGGATTTTGACCCTGAAGGAATGGCAAAATATTTCCAAGTCAGGATGTCAGTAGTTTGGAGGGGAACCTGCAGGTGGTGTTCCCATGTATCTGCTGCCCTTGTCCTCCTGGATGGTAATGGTTGTAGGTTTGGAAGATGCCAAGAAGCCTTGATGAATTCCTGCATTGTATTTTGTCGATGGTACACACATCTGTTACTGAGCATTGCTATGGCTAGTTTTGTTTTTTCTTACTACCTTTCCATGAAGCGAGTGAAGACTGATCTCTTCCTGCTCCTCCTCCTCATTACAGGTGAATGGAGATGTATCTGCGACAGTGACACCCACACCAGCACCATCTTCAAACTCCTCATCTTCTCCATCAACTCCAACAACTCCATCCAGGGATACAAGTGCCCCAATAGTCAAGGTAGATTGTAATACTTATGATTTCCATGTTTTTTTTCCTGTTGCAGCAGTGACTAAAATTCGAACATGCTTTTCCTGGCAGTGATGTTTTGAGACATTTTCAGGTGATGAGTGTTGATGAACTTCCAGCCCCGTCAGTGTCGGCGTCGGTGCTGAGGGGGTGCTGCCCCACTGGCATCGGTGTCGGCGCCAAGGAGGTGCTGCCCCGCTAGCGTCGGTGTTGGCGCCGAGGGGGTGCCGCCCTATCGAAAGATCAGTCTTTCTCAAGCAATCTTAAACTGAGATCCTATCTGGACTCGCTGTTGGATGGAAAAGATTCCATGTCTGTTATTTTGGAGAATTACATAGAATATTCAGCAGAGGCCCTGGCCAACGTTTTCTACATGCCAGGCTGATCAGCTCTGGTTTGTTGGATCTTATTGTGAGAAAACTGGGATGGGGGCTGTCATTTCTCCTACATGACACTGGTGAGCGGAGCACAACTTTTTTAGCTGTAGATATGGACTGCAGTAAGGCGTTTGACAAGGTCCCTCATGGTAGACTGGTTAGCAAGGTTAGATCACATGGAATACAGGGAGAACTGGCCATTTGGATACTGAACTGGCTCGAAGATAGGAAACGGAAGGTGGTGGTGGACGGTGCCACAACAATTGGTGCTGTGTCCACTGCTTTTTGTGAATGATTTGGATGTGAACATAGGAGGCATGGTTAGTAAGTTTGCAGATGACACCAAAATTGGAGGTGGAGTGGGCAGTGAGGAAGATTACCCGGAGTACAATGGGACCTTGATCAGGTGGGCCAATGGGCCGGGAATTGGCAGATGAAGTTTAATTTAGATAAAGGTGAGGTGTTGCATTTTGGAAAGGCAAATCAGGGCAGGACTTGCACACTTAATGCTAGGATCCTGGGGAGTGTTGCTGAACAAAAAGACCTTGGAGTGCAGGTTCATAGTTCCTTTGAAAGTGGATTCCCAGACAGCATAATGAAGAAGGCATTTGGTGTGCTTGCCTTTATTGGTCAGTGCATTATAGGAGTCGGGTGAATAGCCAAGGTCTTTTACCCGGGGTGGGGGCATCCAAAACTAGAGGGTATAGGTTTAAGGTGAGAGGGGAAAGATTTAAAAAGAGGCCTAAGGGGCATGTTTTTCACGCAGAGGCTGATGTGTGTCTGGAATCAGCTGTAAGAAAGTGGTCGAGGCTGTTACAATTAAAACGTTTAAAAGGCACCTGGATGGGTATATGAATAGGAAGGGTTTAGAGGGATATGGGCTAAATGCTGGCAAATGGAACTAAATTAATTTAGGATATCTGGTTGGCATGGATGAGTTGGACTGAAAGGTCTGTTTCTGTGCAGTACAACTCTATGACTCTAATTATGGGCTGACTGGAGGTGGTGACAGAGGCTATACAAATGCAGGTCTTTGTTGTTTAGTCCAAGCAAGAGATGGTCACAGAGAAAGCTGACACTCTCTCTCTCTTTCTGGTTGATAGCCCCAGCTTGACGGTGACAAAACGGCCGGTGAGGTGGGTCTGAGCCTCAGTACCTCTGCAGCAGAGGCCAAGGAGAAGGTGCATTCGAAACGCTCCAGTAAGCGGGCCCCACAGATGGACTGGAGCAAGAAGAATGAACTGTTCAGCAACTTGTAAAGAAGAAAGAACCTTCGCTAATCTCAGCTTCAGCTTTAATAACCTCAGAAAATGTTAATTTCTTTGGTAATTTTGTTTTCCCAAGCCCCGTTGAGTCTTAACCTGGTACATTCAGAGGGCTGAGTCCTTCCCTGTTTCCGTTTCCCCTTTTGTTCAAATCCAGGTCAGGTCAGGTCAGGTCATCATTGGCCTGGCTTTTGTTAGTCGAGCAGGGTATTGAGCCCTCCCCCGGCCCACTCTGATTAGAACTTTTGCGCAGACTCTGTGTTTGTGCTGCCTAACCCAGGAGCTGTGCATGGTGTGTTGGAATCCCACAGGCATCTGTCACTGTCTGCTCCTGATGCCAGCACTCACTTGGGCAGGGGCAGCGCTTTGGGGCTGGGGACACTCTCCTGTCTTCACCTCTCTCAAGTCTCTCTGCTACCCAGTTGCAGAGCTTTTTGTGAACAGTGTGTGCAGTTTAAGACCAGACTTCATCACACAGTCCTGAGTTTAACCAGGTCACCTTGAATAAAAGCAGGACACATTTACAATCTCTTCAAACAACTAAGTCCTGCGCTGTGAACACTGAACCATTCTTTCACAAACCTGGTGATTTTTGGAGTTTTGTTCCTTCCTCCTCATGAACAGAAGGTTTTGAATCTCTATCAAGATCTGTTTGAAATTACCCACACAAATTACCTATTAAAGAACCCATAGTTCTGCCAATGACAAGATCAAATTTTGCGTCTCATTTTTCTCTAATCTGTTACGTGCAATTATGATGTCTTTTTTTAAAATTTAGATTCTTCAGTATTAAAATCGAGTCTAATCTGCAAACTGCAATCGGCAAACATTAGCAAAGAACTTATTTAGTTTGTGTTACTAGACAAGGCTTTGGTAGGGGGCGATGGCTGCTTTCTAGATGATAAAGATGTACGAATTAGTGCTGACAAACCACAAAGTCCATGCGAAGATGCTTATGTCTCAGTGGCCTGTGTTGACCTTGGGCAGGTGGCTACCCATCAGAACTGCATGGATATTGGTCACGGTCCCAATCCAAGCTCCAATGAATTGTAGAGGAGTGTAGATTTCTCTTGAAAGTGGATGTGGAGCCATTTTGCCAACACTCTCTAAATGATTCAGGTTACTGGAACGTGTTGCCATACAAGACCTTAATTTGGACGTTCATTTAGAGTATAATTCAAACCATGGAATCTCATCCCTTCTTACCATATTCCTTCATCCCATTTCTTTCCCATCTGCTGTTTAGTTTTCAGGTCTCCTTCTCAAAGACCAACCTTACTCACAGTCAGTGTCGGTGCTGGTGAATGATGCTTTGAGTCAGATCACAGCAAGGTATAAACTGGCCCTGCAGGTTATGAGATAACTGCTCGCCTATGTATGTTTGGGGAGAGTGGAAGTCATTTTTGGTCTTTTCACCCCTTCCACCAGAATGTGCCATTGAGTCCAGTTAATCTGCTTTGAACAGTCTGATCCAGTTAGTGATACTTTGATTTCTCATTCCCTGTTTGACTCTTGTGACAGGAGGTTATGATCTGTCCGTTAATGTTGATTGTTGGGTTTACCTTTTCATTTGGAAACATTCTCTGGGATCAGGTATTAAAGGGACTTGTTTATTTGCTCTTAACTGTCAACATCATCATCTTTTGGTTTTTGTTGCATTTTGGGTGTTTTATTAACTCGTTCCATCCAGTTCACAATACTCTTGTCTCCCCCTGTACTTTAGATGTCATCATGATTGACTGAATGCTGCCCGTAGTTTTCTCACCATCAATGATGTGAATGATCTACTTTCATTTGGCACAAGCGAGTTCTGATCTGAAAAGATTCCAGAACCTGGAAATCTGACAGGCTTGCCATTTGCTTTCAAAGGGGCTTTCAATTTGGTTTTTAATTTAGTTCAATAAAAGCTAGGTTTAGAAATCAGCATTGATTAGACGAGAGTGACCTCCTCAGCGCCTCACTGTGGCGAGTTGTAAGGAGTAGTTTAGGTCAGTCACAGTAATGTGTAAACCTGCAAAGACACAGACTCTAGTATGACAGCTGGAAACTCTCAGTTTCTAATTTCTAATTGTGTTATGGTCTTGGGTTGTTTTGGTTGAGGTCAGAGACTTTATACCCCAGCCTTTATAGTTTAACCCTCAGGATCTCTTCTCAAGATGATGCCTGGGACTTGTGACAAGGACCCTGCCTGACTTATAAGATGAATGGTTTCTCAAGGGATTCACATATTACCCTGGGGTGCAGTGCTTCAACACCAATTTTAAGAGTTGCTGGATTTAGTCCCAGTTTTGGGTAGTACATCAAGGATTAATCTTGGTACAGTCATGGTCTATGTCCAAATATGGCATTATATCTCATCGCTCTGTTTTAGGTTGCATTTTCCTTCTTACATGACAGTCTGTACACTTTATAATTTTCTTTAAAAAAGCTTCTGACCTATATTGGTGGTAAGATGGAAACATTTCTTTGAAAGTGAAATGCCTATTATAGCCCCGGGAAACCTCAGCTGAGATTAATCCTTCGTGTACGTGTTTCTCTTTGTTGTTAGTTTTGATTTTGTCAGTGCACTGTGTTTGATGGCATTGGAGCACATGTAGTCCGATTTAATTAGCACAGGTTCTAAGTTAGAGACATTGCAAGTTGTAGAGAAGAGTTTTATTCCTGTGTATAAAAGGCAGAGATCAAAGTATTGCTGTGTAGCTTCATGTGAAATAGCAGAACGATTTGTTGTCCAAATTCAAACACAAATAATTTTTAGAAACTATATTTTTACCAATGTCTGTAAATTTTAAGGAATAAAAGTTAAAATCAAAGAACTGTATGCATTTTTGTGCATCACAAATCCTACAGGACACTGTTAACGTTAGAGAACTGAGATGAATAAACCAAGGCTGCAACATCCAAAAAGTCATGAGACTCAGGAACGCCAGGTTTGAGTTTTGATATCTTTTGTCATTAGTGGGCTCGGAAATCTCTTTTGGAGTGCATGTGGGGAATTTGCTGATATGTCCAACTGATTAAGAGGCTAGCAATGGTTTCATTTGAGAAAACAGCTTTTCTATACTGCATTTAACCGGTAGTGTTTTTAAATGATGTTCACCTTTTACCCCTCAGCTGGGAGCTCAAAGATTGAATTTATCAGTGTACTCCATCTGGTGGAGCAGACAGGAATAAGAGTCAAACCTATTCCAACATTTTATTAGATCACTGCAGATCTGTATCAACTCCATCTACTCACCTTGGTTCCATTGTCCTTCCCTAGCCCAAACAAAATCATCAATCTTGGTCTTGGAATTTTCAGCTGAGATTTCAGATTTTTAAGGGAGAGATTTCCCAATTTTCATTCCCCTTTGTGTGAAAGATGCTGTCTTATTCTGGACTTAATTGACCAGAGGAAATATATACTCTGTTGGTCTTTGAATCAGTTTAAACCCCTTTCTGAGATCACATGCCAGACTTCATACAGAAGGGAATACAGGCCTACTTGAGGCACCTTGCCCTCAACAAGGAATGTGTCCATGCTTTTAGCTGGATGGCTGGTTTGTGATGCAGAAGGACATCAACAGCAGGAAGTTCAATTCCCATATTGGTTGAGGTCACCACAAAGGCCCCACCTTCTCAAACTTGCCCCTTGCCTGAGGCGTGGTACACCTCAGGTTATACTCCCCACCAACTGTCCATCTCTGTCTCTGTCTCACACATACATTCTGAGACACACGCGCGCACACACACACAGCAGCCTACGGTTCTCTTTTAGCCTCAGAATCGTTCCTTGGAATCTTTGTGCAGGCCTTGGAGCGAATGCAGTACTCTCCTAAGGTCGGCCTGCTAACACCCGTTGAGAGTCTACCAGAATCAACATCTATCTCCTGATGACTATTGAAATTCATACAAAAATTTTCAAATAGTATGGGGATCAAGGGTTCCAGTGAGAAGGCAGGAGAACAGGATTGATAAACTTACCAGCCATGATGGAATGGTCTAATTCTGCTCCTATCTCTTATGGTCTTATCATTCATTGGAAAATGATGATCTGATTGTACATTTAAAAGTAAACTAGTTCTGGCATGCATAGTAGTGTGCTCATGGACATCATTGCCTGTATTTTCCCAATATGTGACTCAGGAGGTAAAAGGAGTGAACGTTGCTACTGCAACAATCTCAGAAGCCTACTCTGAGGGTATCTTGAATGTTAAATATAGCCTTGGTTGATTTTTCTTTTAAAATCGAAGCTTGTGGGAATTGGTGAAAATTGTTACCATATGTTTTATTTGTAATGAAATGGGATTCTGCACGAGTTTGGTAGAGGCCTTGGTATTCTCCTTTCTCATATTACCTTAGATGTCACTTCTGCCAATATCTTGCATAATATGTCCAGCCAGAGTTGGCAACTGTCCTAAAGTGCAATGCCCAGAACTGACTGCAATGTGTGTGTGAGAAAGATGGACAACTGGTGGGGAGTATAACCTGAGAGGTACCACAACTTGGACAAGAGGCAATTTTGAAAAGGTGGGGCATTCATGGTGACCTTACGCAATGTGGGAATTGAAGCCCTGCTATTGCTGTCACTCTGCATTACAAACCAGCCGTCCAGCTAATGACGTGGACACATTACAAAACAACCAAAGAACTGCAGAGGCTGGAAATTGGAAACAAAAACAAGTTGTTGGGAAAACTCAGCAGGGAAGTTATGTTGCAGTTGTACAGGATGTTGGTGAGGCCGCACTTGGAGCATTGTTCTATTTTGGTCACCTTGCTACAGGAAAGATGTTATTAAACTGGAAAGAGTGCAGAAGAAATTTAGAAGGATGTTGTCAGGCCTCCAGGAACTGAGTTATAGGGAGAAATTGGACAAGCTAGGAGTTTTTTCATTAGAGCATAAGAGACCTGAGGGAAGATCTGATAAAAGTGTATAAGATCATGAGGCATGGATTGGGTGAATGCACTCAGTCTTTTTCTCAGGGTTGGGGAATCAAGGACTAGAGGGCATCAGTTCAAGGTGAGAGGGGCAAGAATACATGGGAACCTGAGGGGCAACTTTTTTTACAGAGGATGGTACGCATCTGGAATGAGCTGCCAGCAGAAGTGGTTGAGGTGGGTACATTAACAACATTTAACAGGCATTTGGATGAATACATGGATAAGAACGGTTTGGAAGGATATGGGCCAAGTGCAGGGAAATGGGTCAGCGTGGATGGACATTTTGGTTGGCATGAACCAGTGTTTGGGCCGAAAGGCCTGTCTCCATGCTATAGGACTCTGATTCTATGTCTGGCAGCATCTGTGGCAAAAAAACTGAGTTAACATTTCAGGTCCACTGACCCTTCTAAAGAACTTCTTTGAGTTCGTGTGTTTTCCCAGCAATTTCTGTTGTTGTTTCGTGGACATATTCTTGTTTTCTGCAGCATGCCATACCACATCACATGGCAGTAGATTGGAATCTCAGCAATGATTGGGTGAGCTAGCAGATTTCCACTAACCAATGTAGGTATTGAGGTGCAAAAAATGGAATACATGACACGTCAGCCAGTGATATAAAATTAGATGTTTATTTCTGAAGTATTACACGGCCCCAATATATATTTGCAAAGTCACTCCAGTTTGTCCCAGTGAAGCAATATGGGATAGTGTTCTTAATGACCACATCCCTCATCTTCATAATACTGTAAACACAGCCTGTATAGCCTAACTAAAGGTCACTAACCTCAGAGAAAGGGGTTCAGGCTTGTGGTTTGCTGAGGCATTCCAGCAGGTTTAGAAACTGGGACCAGTGGCTGTCCAAAATGATGACTCATGTCCACTGCCATTCTTGTGGCTGGCACCATGCCTGATGCCTGGGGTAAACTACTGAATGTTGAAGGATAGGTCATGGTGGTGGGCATGCAGCTAGGAGCCATGGTTTGTGGTGCCATCAAGGGCATTGATGCCATGCTAACACTGCCACTGCCCATGGTGGGTTGGGCAAAACCAGCATTGCTCTGAATCTGCTTCAAGGTCAGTTTATTCTGGTCGCTGACTTGGAAAGGGTTGGATGTTGAGATTGAACTGAGACCACCTGCAAAGAGAAGAAAGTCAATAATTTGACACCGTACATCTTATCAGAATGCAGCATAAACTGTTGAGGCAATTGGTATCAGAGCTGATTGATTGATGGGATATTACGTTCTGTGGACAGGTAGTGGTGTTTTGGTACAGAGTAAAGTTCCCAGTACACTAGCCTATCAAATACCGCCAGACAGATATGACAGGATTAGATATAGAATAAAGCTCTCGTGGAGCTCTTGCAGATAAGGAGGCGATACAGTCTACCAGAGTGGGCTGGGTTTACTTTGCATCCCAAAGTTGTCAGGGTGATGCTTGAATAGTTCATACCATACAGTTCTTTAACAAGGAATTGAAGTACACTGGGTGTTCCATAGAATATCCACCGAGCACTTTTAACAGCAATGAGACATAGCCTTCTGTTTAAAGCTGTTCTAAGCTGTCAAATCTGAGATTGTATTGTAGTCAACCTGACAATAAATTCTAGTATCAACAATTTCCTCTCTCATTTTCAGAAACCTCCTGGGATCAGAGAGACAGCAGTAACAAAACAAAACAAGATCACCTATCTCCTGCTAATCACCCATCCATTTAAACTCGTTTTGTAGTCCCTGTTCAGATCAGTGCTGTATTGCACTTAATCCCCAGTATTCCATTTGGTGCAGTTTACCTTGGGGAGTTTTTCTTATTAACTGAGTCAATATTGATCCTTCTAACCACTAATTTTATTCCCAATCTGATGTTAGCTTAGTTTGTTTTTGAAGGAGGTAATTCTTGATCACACTCAGGCACTCTCCATTTATCTCTGTGGGTCACTCTTGGTTTATCTCTGTCACTCTCAGCTTTGCCTAGTATTACAACATCTTTGCTCAAAGGCGTGTCTTTCTAAAAGAGATACTTTTAACTGAGAGACCATTACCTGACGTGTGGAAAGGGTTCTTGCTCTTAAGGTTGTGAGAAGGTGCAGACAGCAGCGAGTCCAGATTCACCAGCGATGCAGCGTTGGGATCCAGGAATAGTTCTGGAGTTCGATGAGGCCCATTAGAATCCTTTAGAGAGTTCCCTACTTCAGTCATATCGAAGACATCTGGACTACTGCTACCATTCTGCTTTGTTTCTAGAACCGTTTTACCCAGGAGGTCCATCTTTGCTGCAGAACCAGAATTGATAATTATTTTCTTTTCTATTCTTTATCTTGGAGCCTGGGCTCCTTAGCATAATCCTGCTGCTCTCAATCCAATAGATGTACCTTACCAATACTGAAAACATAGAGATGCCTGGTAACAGTGAGCAGCAGCTTGTTGGGAAGAACCGTGTAAAATACTTAGCTCATTGCCAACTAACTGGTTGATTATTCTTTGGATAGAGTGTCGGTTGCTACAATTGCAGATTGCCAGAGCCCTAAAAATGCATTTATTAGGGGCAACATCTAACATGTTTTTTCTCTTTTTAGAAGATGACTGATTTTTTTTTTCAATGTTAGGCAATTTCAGCTAATTTCAGTTTCGTTCAGTTGGACAGTATGTCAGAATAAATAACACTTTTCTGGACAAGGATTGGGATTGAAAGATAACATTTATTGCCTCTAGCTCACAATTAAGCAACAATTCGAATGTAAAATTCTCATCTTTGTTTTCAGATCCCTCTATGATCTCACCTTCTCTCTCTCCCCTCCAACTTAACCACTTGTGGATGTGGTTTCAGCTCTGGAATTCCCTCACTAAACCACTCTGCCACTCCATTCTGCTCTCCTGCTTTTAAGCAGTTCCTTAAACTATCTGATGAAGCTTGTGGTCATGTCCTTTAGTGTCACTGTTCTGAAGCACTTGCTATGGTTTAGTATATTAAAGGCATTATTTTAAAAAAAACAAATTGTTGGTTCACAATATCTTTAGGCGTTTTAGCAAATAGTGGAGCGATGGGGTCATGTGAGGTCATGATAGTGGATTGACGAGTGGGAGTGGGCTGGGGGAAGGTGCAGACTGAAAACAAGAGGCTATGACTGCTGCAATCCAGTTTGAACATTACCTGCAGGCATATCAGACACCGTCAATGAAGACTCAACCCAGGCACTCTCTGCAAACTGATCCAGCACTGAGTCTCCTGAATTTGTAAATGGGTCAAATGTGGAGCCATCTGTAACAAGGATAAAATCATGAAGAGAAGACAATAAACATGGGAATTCCCATCCTTCTCTTCAGATCCAGCTTTGCTCCCTCTTATTTCTCATCAAATTAAATATCAGGAAGATTTAAATCATTGCATTGGGTTGCAGGGACAAGAGACAATGTCTAGCCACTAACTCCATCTCTCTACCTGGTCACTCACAATCCTGAGCTGAGCTCCCAACCCCATTTCTGCCACATGGCTAAGACTTCTACCTTGTTCATAATGAACCATCATCTCTCTGGTTCACGTAAGCACAAGTCATCTTGAGTTTTTAGAGTAGACTTTTTCAACATATAGCACAGCAATAAGGGTAACTAACAGCAGTTTTTGTATCTTTTGAGTATTACCTTTTTCAGATCCATAGTTGATCTAGTAATCACTAGTCTGTTACCTCTATACTCCACCCTGGTGTGGATTCTTCCAAACAAACCTTATCATAGCTAATACCCTGGTGCTCATACTTTTTGTGAGCTATAGTATGGTTCACCCATTATTCCTTTGGTGCCATCAGATAGAGTCACAACTGGGACAGGACAGAGAGATGGGGGAAGATAGAAAGAGAGAGGAGGGAAATGAAACAGGTGATCTCGTTGAAATATATAAGATCCTGAGGGGACACGACTGAGTGGATGCTTGAGAGGATACTTTCTATTATGGGAGTGACGAGCTTAAAAATAAGGTTTCCAGTTAAAGATGAGATTTTTTTTTTCCTCTCTGAGGGTGATTAGTCTGTGGAATTCTCTTCCCCAGACAGCACTGGAGTCAAGGTCATTGGATATGTTTAAGACTGAGTTAAATACATTATTGATTGGCAGGGGAGTCAAAGGTTAGACGGATTAGGCAGGGAAATACAGGCAACAATCTAATTGCCCGTGGCTGAATGGTCACATTCTGTGCTGCGCTCTTCTCCATTGTGTTGCAACTTTTGTGGTTGTGATATTCAGTGCTGAGTGGCTAATTTCCAGCTCAATTTCTGACTGATATTTAATAATCTGATTAATGTTGTGATGACCAAAACTCAATGTTTTTCTTCCGAAGGATATTAATGCTGGGAACGAGGGACACTTTTGATTCAAGCACCCATCGTTCAAATAAAAGCAAAATACTTATAAATGCTGGAGAACTCAGCAGGTCTGCCAGAATCATTGGACAAAGAAACCTCATTAAACTTTTAAATGCCACCAATATATTGTCTGGAGCTACCTCAGCCTTTTCTAAGGAAATATTAGTGATGGGGGACATAGAGTCATAGAGCTGTACAACATGGAAACAGATCCTTTGACCCAACTCAACCATGCCATCTAGATGTCCTAAATTAATCCAGTCCCATTTGCAAACATTTGATCCATACCCTTCTAAACGATTCCTATTCATATACCCATCAGATACCTTTTAAATGTTGTAATTGTACCAGCCTCCACCACTTCCTCTGGCAGCTCATTCCATACACACACCACCCTCTGTGTGAAAAAGTTGACCCTTAGGTCCCTTTTAAATCATTCCCCTCTCATCTTAAACCTATACCCTCTAGTTTTGGACTCCCTTACCTTAGGGAAAAGACCTTGGCTATTTACCCTGTCCCTGCCCCCTCATAATTTTATAAGGTTACCTCTCAGCCTCCTATGTTTCAGGGAAAATAGCCCCAATCTATTCAGCATCTCCCTATAGCTCAAACTTCCAACCCGACAATATCCTCGTAATTTTTTTCTGAACACTTTCAGGTTTCACTATAGCAGGGAGAGCCGAACTGAATGCAGTGTTCCAAAAGTGGACACATCAATATCCTGTACAGCTGCAATATGACCTCCCAACTCCTCTCCTCAATGCACTGACCAATAAAGGCAAGCATACCATGCCTTCTTCACTATGCTGTCTGTCTGGGACTCCACTTTAAAGGAACTATGAACCTGCATTCCAAGGTCTCTTTATTCAGCAACACTCCCCAGGACCTTACCATTAAGTGTATATGTCCTACGTCAATATGCCTTTACAAAATGCAGCACCTCACAGTTATCTAAATTAAACACTATCTGCTGCTCCTGGGCCTATTGGACCATCTGATCTAGGTCTTGTTGTGCTCTGAGATAACTTTCTTCGCTGTCCACCACACCACCTATTTTGGTGTCATCTGCAAACTTACTAATGATACCTCCTATGTTCACATTCCAAATCATTCATATAAATGACAAAGAGCAGTGGACCCAGCACTAATCTTTGTGGCAAATCACTGGTCATAGGCTTCCAGTCTGAAAAACAACCCTCCACCACCACTCTTTGTCTTCTTTTTTCGAGCCAATTCTGTATCCAAATGGCTAGTTCTCCCTGTATTCCATGTGATCTAACCTTGCTAACCAGTCTACCATGAGGGACTTTGTCGAACACCTTACTGAGGTCCATATAGATCACATCCACCGCTCTGCCCTCATCAATCCTCTTTGTTGCTTCTTCAAAAAAACTCAATCAAATTTAAGAGACATGATTTCCCAGGCACAAAGCCAAATTGACTATCCCTAATCAGTCCTCAGGATTCCCTCAAAATTTGCCCACCGCTGATGTCAGGCTCACCAGTCTAAGTTCCCTGGATTTTACTTACTACCTTTCTTAAATAGTGGCACCACATTAGCCAACCTCCAGTCCTCCAGCATCTCACTTGTGGCTATTGATGATACAAATATCTCAGCAAGGAGGCCTGCAATCTCTTCCATAGCTTCCCGCAGAGTTCTAGAATACATCTTTATGTATTTTAAGACAGTCAGCACCTCCTTATTTGTAATATGGACATTTTTCAAGATGTCGTTATTTATTTCCCCACATTCTCTATCTTCCCTATCCTTCTCCACAGTAAACACTGATGCAAAATACTTGTTTAGTATCTCCACCATTTCCTGCGGTTCCACACATAGGCAGCCTTGCTGATCTTTAAGGGACCCTATTATCTCCCTAGTTACCCTTTTGTCCTTAATGTCTTTGTAGAATCCCTTGGGATTCTCCTTAACCCTATTTGCCCTCCTGATTTCCCTCTAAAGTATACTCCTACTGCCTTTATATTTTACTAGGGATTCACTCATTCCTGCTGTCTACACCTGAAGTATGCTTCCTTCTTATTTTTGACCAAAACCTCAATTTCCCTTCACCTACCAGCCTTACCCTTCACCCTAACAGGACTCTGGACTCTCATTATCTCAGTTTTGAAGGCTTTCCATTTTCCAGCCGTCCCTTTACCCGCGAACATCTGCCCCCAATCAACTTTTGAAAGTTCTTGCCTAATACTGTCAAAATTTGCCCTCCTCCAATTTAGAACTTTAACTTTTACATCCGTCTATCCTTTTCCATCACTATTTTAAAACTACACCTTTCAAGAGTGGATTTGGCATTAACCCTTGATACATTGTGACAGAAAGATACAAGGCCAAGTCAAAGCATGAAATGTTTATTTCTGTTACACTGCTTTAGGCTCTGAGTGAGTTTGTGAGCTGGAGGAGCTTTGTCTTTTGATTGAGAGGATTGGTAAAACAGAAATTGCTTCCCATTTACCTGGTGCCGTGATACCTGGTAGAGCACTAGAGTTACTGGTGGCTGACACTGTTGCCCATGGATCTACACTGGCCTGGTTAGTAGCAGCTGAGCCAGAGGTCTGGGCCCAGGGATCTGTATCCCACACCTGTGGAGAGGCAGGATCGGTGTCTAAAGATGGCCAAGAATTTGCTGCATTCGGGACGGATGCTTTTGCACCTGAAGGAAATCACATAAAGTATGTCAGCATGTTGCTCAGTGCGGCATTGAGTTGGACCCCTCCCTCTTTCCAGAACTCCTCTTTCCTAACACCCTGGTCACGCGTTTCGTCCTCATCGCAGCCCCAGTGCAGTCACACAGAATGGATATTGAAGGCCAGTTGATGGTCTCACTGGGGCTATGCAATAAAACCACTTCCTGCCCCCACCACCGCCACCACCCCAAAAAAAGAACCTGAAAATGGAATAGCTATTGAAAGGCCTGTGTTAGCCGATAGTTAAGAGGCAGGTCCAGATGTGTGATCAGACTCAGAACAAGCATCTCTCCTAAGGAATATCAACTGTATGTACAGAGACTGCAGCAATGATTGAAACAGCTGCAACAACGTCCAGAAATAAGCCAAGCAATGTTCAGAATGTACTGAGTGGGCGACAGTCACAGAATCCAAATTCTCTGAATAAAATTAATTTTCATCAGTGCAGCCTCCTGCCATACCCAATCACCTCTGCTCTGCACAGACGTCGTAATCTCCAGACCAGGAGGAGGTGCTGTCCTGGAGCTTACTGTCCTGTGAAATACAACTTGGTGCTAGTCACCTTCTGTTCAAGGTGAACAGGAGAAGCACTGAGCACCTCCCTTCCCCCGCCACCACCACCATCCCCCGCCCCCCCAAACTCCATCCAACAGTCTGAAAGGGGAGGGCCTACACTTTAATGTTTTTGGATGTCAATAGGAACTCCACCTTCCCAAAGCTAATGAAATGCTCACCAGAGCAACAAGAAGAATTATGTTGTTCTTGAGTATTGTTGAAAAAAGACACATTTTGTCAAAGGTTTTCATTTTGTACTCATCCAGGCAGATTGCAAGAAATATCAGTGTAAAGGGAAAACAACATGTACTATATGAGAGGAGAGCACTGATTGGTTGACCAGTGGATTCTGATTGGTAGAAGCGTTGCCATGTGTAATGCACCAGTTAATAATGACTCTCAGTCAATTGCCAAGCTTCGTTTAAATTTTATATTTTCTCATTTCTGTGATAGACAGAACATCTTTTTGATTTACGGCAACATCCTGTTGGTGGCAAACACTACTGGTACTGCTCATACATAGAAGCAGTATGAAGCAACTGGCTTTACCTACTGCTTAAACCTTTGAGATACCTCACCCATTTAGGGTAATCTGAGGTAGACGGGGTATATTTCAGGACCATAAGTGACAGTCTTAGGCCCACTCTCAGTCTGAGTGATATATAGCAAGGAATGATCTGTTTAGGGTAGCCAACCTCCCACAGAAGGTTTTCAATCATAGAATCCCCACAGTGTGGAAACAGGCCATTCGGGTCAACAAGTCCACACCGAACCTCAGAGCATCCCACTCAGGCCCATTCTTCTATAACCCACCTAATCTACACATCCCTGGACACTATGGGCAACTTAGCATGGCCAATCCACTTAGCCTGCACATCTTCGGACTGTGGGAGGAAATTGGAGTACCCGGCGGAAACACACGCAGACACGGGGAGAATGTGCAAACTCAACACTGACAGCCACCTGAGGATGGAACTGAACCCAGGTTCCCGGCACTGTGAGGCAACAATGCTAACCAATGAGCGACTGTGCCACCCCAGATGTTTCAATGTGCTCTATTTCAGAATCAAGCTTGCACAGTGAACAGATAGCTCGGGTCCTAATTACAAGGTTTTGAATAAGGCCAATGTTATAGCGCATGGAACTGTAGGAATCTGAATGTATATATTGACCAGAGAAGGTAGCTTTGAGTTAGGCAGGTCATTGAGAAGAGGGAGCTTGTTTGATTGTTACATTTTAAACATGAATTTGAGTGCATTAAGACATATGAAGACATGCTGAGGAAATATGTTATCCTGTCAGTGCAAGGGTTTTACATCTCAGCTAAATGATTAACAGGCACTAGGCAGTTTGCCAGATTCCGGCACCTCTGAGTTTGATAGTCTTCGGGGGGAGTATCAATTGGCAGCTTAACGTTTGAGAGCTACGAGGAATTCTGCTCTCATTGATTGGCTGCCTGCACACATCTCCAACAGGACTGACTGCTGGAGGGTGATCACTGAGCCAGATTCTCTCTGCTCAGAGATTCCTCCTGCTCCTATTGCCAGGATTCTGGAGGAGGACAGCAGACAGTTCCAGAGTGAGGCTTCCGATGATTCAGGATTCTGGACATTCTCTGGCCTCCCATGGGAACCAGGGACACAGGAGAGTTATTGACACGCCAGCCTAACTGAGATACAGCATGCACAGACTAATGCTATCAATGTGGCAGTAACCAGGATTTCTTGGAATGGCTTGCTTGGGGAGTGGCAAAGTGTTTTAGTTTGTTGGTACTGGCAGTGAGGGTGTGGGGAGCTGAGGACTGGGGCTCCTTATTAATGTTCATACAATCAAACCCATACCATGAAGTTTGAGTGGTGACTCGCAATGAAGCTTGCGATTGGAAAGCCTTACCCAGGGTATCCCAGAGGTCAAGATAGGCTGCGGAGGGAGGTGAGGCCACATTTCTGCTTGCCCATGGATGACTTTGGGTGGAGCTATCCCATGGATCAGTCCTGGATTCGGTTGCAGTCACTGGCGCCCCAAAGATATCAGCCAGCTCCAACAGGGAAGACTAGACAGTGGATGAAACACAAACTGTGAGACAAGTGGGCAACTTTGGCCAATTCCAAATATTCTCTCCTTCCAATGTCTCTCTTCCCCTTCTGGAAGTAGTTGATTAGAATCTGGCTCCATTTGGTTAAAAGCAGGCTGCCCAGATCTCACCTGTTCATGTGTGCCCCAGGTTATTTGGCCATCATGGCTCTCACTGACTGCAGAGCAAAATGGTGCAGGAACCCTGGTTGAACTTCTCATCCAGGGACGTTGGAGTTAATTGTAGCACCTTAGCGTCGTGATGCTGCCAGTGTAGAATTGCTTGTCAACCCCTGGTATTGTTACATATGCACATTGGCTGATGTAAAGGAGGATGCCTGGAGCCTCTATAAAATATCACCCACCAAAAATTACAACCTCAGGGTGAAGAGGAAGGAGAGGGTGAGGTTCAGTAACTGAGGGTAAGTTAAGAGACACAGGTTCTTTACCCTGTGACTATTGGAATATCATTAATACATTCCAGGTCAGCACAGGCTCACGTATACACAGTGACTGATACTTTGCCAGGATATCCAAAAGGGCTTCATGGCCACTGAATTACTTGTAAAGTGTAGCCATTACAGTTACATAAAGAAACGCACTAAACCACAATCATCAATGATTTTACTGACCTGATTATTTGGTTTTGTGATGGGGATCAAGGGATAAATACAGTAGACTTTTTATTAACTGGCACCTAATGGACCAGGAGTGGGCTGGTTGATCAAATAGTCTGGATAATGAAGAGGTCCACATAATCAATGTAAAAACACACACTAAGTAAGAGAGACACATTTTATTTACAGCATAAATCACTTAAATAATAATGCAACCTTGCCTTCAGTAAAACTTAACCAACAGAGCACCTTCTCACTTGCACCCTCAACTGACTATTCAGACATCATGGAGATGGCGATAGTACAGTAAACTTCTGGTATTTGAGGTATATCATTTTTGCTGGTTTATCAAGAGTGCTGGTTCATAAGGTACTGGTTAAAACAAAGTTTGCTGCATTGGCCAGGACTTTCATTGTCAGACTGAACCATATACTCCAGTCTGAGCAGTGGTAATTGATCCTGATGATTTCGAGTGAGTGTTTTGCTAACCCAGCCCTGGCTGACAGCTGCATTGTTTTTATGGAGGTTGGCACCAGTTTGGCAGAGGGAGAGTTGTATATACCTCATTTTTCCTCTCGGCTATTTCACTCTCTTTGCGACTTTGTTCCAATGCTCGCTGAAGATTTTCGTCTTCTTTCTCATCATCCTCATCAAGGGATGACCTCACTCTTAGTTCCTACAAAATAAGAGACAACAAAAATCTTCACGGGTTAAGTAACACTTGAAAAAAGCAAAATGTGTCGAAAGAAGAAGCTAGAGAAATTGTCCCATTTTCCCAATAGATTCTATCATAAACACTTGGCATGGATCGAGCAGATTCCTTTATGGTGTCACAGGATGAACTACCTTCATTTCAAGAAGCATCTCATCTTCTTACAATGGTTTTGCTACACCCACTCAAAATGACTGAGATGGCAGCTCTAACCTCTTATACAAAAATTTAGTGAGACCACTCTGTGGCACTGTTTCTGACCAAGGTGAAAGTTTTGAGTGGGTCGACTGGTTCAAAGTTCAGCCAGTTGCCCCAGAACCCTACAGTATTGTTGACGTTCTTAAGTGGATCTACCAAGAAACACAAGTGTAGAGATTCACAATGATATGTGGCATCAAGTCACCAGGTACCAAACCAGATGACACTGACTCTGCCACCATTGATTCACTGGATCAAAATACCTCACATGCTTTCCTTGGATTGCCAGCTCTGGGTTGATATATGATGCCCCAGTTACTTCACTGTTCAAGTTTGAGTCTAGGCTTTACCCAGCTTGATTACCCAGGTGGAACAGAGATATTACTTAGAATAAGAATAAATTGAAAGAAAATGCTAAGTAAATTGGCATCACTCAAATTAACAAACTGCCCGATGAGTTTTGCTCTCAGTTGCTGAGTGCAGTTCGGGTGGAGACACTAGAAAATCTGACTTTAATTTTCAATCCTCATTGGACTCAAAGTGCCTTCAGAAACCCAAAGATCACAAACATCCCACCTCATTCAAAAACAGGAGTCATGTAAACTGGCAATTATGGATCAGTCTAATGTGAATACAGGAAAAATCACTAGAGGTCATTGTCAAGGACAAAATGAATTTGCACTTTATTCAGGTTTCTAAAGTATAGGCTGCATATTTATTAAAGATAAATCATCTCTCAATAACCCAACTGAGTTCTTTGATGAAGTAACAGAGTGGGGTGATGAAGGTAGTGCAGTAGATGTTATGTACATGGACTTTTAAAAGTCACTTGATGAAATACTACAAAACAGACTTAGTCGGTAAATAGAAGCACATGGGATTAAAGGAATGATGGTAATCTGGGTGTGAAATTGGCTAAGGCAAAGGACATGGAGAGTAGTGATGAACAGAAGATATTTTGACAGGAGAATAATGTGCAGGTTATGAGGAGGGTATGGAGGAGTTACATAAATTGCTCCTTATGAGAGGTGGACCTGATGGGTAAATTGTTTTTTTCTGTGCTATAATGATTCTCCACTTGTGAGAGGATAATGATGTAGGTTCCCCCAATATTGTTTGATGTAAATGGCATGAATTTGGGTGCAGACAGCATAATTTCCAAATCTGAGGACGATATAAAACTTGCTAATGTAGTAAATAGTGACAAATACACATAGAGTGGCAAACTAGGCAAACACACAGCAGATAAAATCTAATGTGGAGAAGTGTTACACTTTCAGGCAAACTAACACAGACAGGCAGTATGATTTAAATGGTACTATTTTGAGAGACAGATGCATGAGCAGAGTGGTCTGGATTGCCTATTTACAAATCCTTAAAAGTGGAAGAATGTTTTGATAAAAAAAACATGAGATGTAAGAGCCCTTGAGCCTGCTCACTGCATTGGGGTGTTCATTATCTCAGAGACCATCACTCCCAGCATTGCAGCACTGCTAATCTTCGATCTCTGCTCCAGTTTCCTGCACTATTCCCATGGCCCTCATCCCTTAATGTCCAAAAATTTATCAATCTGTCAACGTGTCCTAGTCCGTCAAAACCTCTTATGCTATACATATCAGTACATCCCTCTAAACTCCGATCTTTCCTTACACAACAGCCCTCTTATCCCAGGAAGCAATTTAGTGAAGTTTTGTTTCACCCCATCTTAGACAAACATATCAATTTTTGGATTAGGATATCACCTACTTAACCAATTCCTCAAATGGGCTATATCACTTTGCAGTTTAATTATTCTGTACACTTTGCTTTCTCCCTTAACTGTGTATCATCAACAAACTTGGCTACATTGCACTCAGCCCCTTTATGGGGACTTAATACACAGTCATTAATCAAGATTGGAAATACCCAAGGCTCAAGTCTATTAGTTACAACCTGACTTGTTTATTCCTGCTTTATATTTTCTGACAGTTAGACAATCCTCAATCTATTGTTATATATATTACACCAAAATGCACAAACCCTAATCTTGTATGAATCTCTTTCATGTGGCATCTTATCAAGTATCTTCCAAAATCCAAATGGGCTAAATCTAGTGGTTCCCTCCTTATCTACTCTGCTTGTTCCATTCTCAAAAAACTCTAATGGATTTGCTGAACATGATTCCGTTTTCATAAAGCCATGCAGACTCTGTGTAATCATGTTTTGTTTTTCTTGAGTTCTGTTACCGCTTCCTTAATAATAGATTTCAGTATTTCCCTTCTGATGTCAGGGTAACTGGCCCTGAGGATTTATTTGCTTTTAGTGCCATCAATTTCTCCAGTACTAGAAGCACGTTGCAGTAGTATTGGTTCTTTATGTATTTTAATAATTTTAAGTTCGTCACTCTCATTAGTCTTAGTTCCCCTGTAATTCCAATGAGTCTGTGACACGTCTCTCCAGAGGTAGGGTTATCGAGTGGTTTAAGACAAAAGTCAACAGATTTTAGAATGACAAGGGAGTCAGCAGGAAAGTGGATTCGAGGCTACATTTCATAGAACATAGAACATAGAACAGTACAGCACAGTACAGGCCCTTTAGCCCACGATGTTGTGCCGAACTTTTACCCTAAACCTAAGGTCTATCTAACCTCCACCCCTACTGTATACTATCATCCATTTGTCTATCTAATAGCCGCTTAAATGCCCCTAATGAGGCCGACTCCACTACCCTCTCCAGCAATGCATTCCATGCCCCTACCACTCGCTGAGTAAAGAACCTACCTCTGACGTCTCCCCTATATCTACCTCCACTCACTTTAAGACTATGCCCCCTCGTAACAGCTACCTCCACCCTAGGAAAAAGTCTCTGGTTGTCCACTTTATCTATATCTCTGATCATTTTGTACACCTCTATCAAGTCACCTCTCATCCTTCGTCGTTCTAAAGAGAAAAGCCCTAGCTCTCTCAACCTTTCCTCATAAGACCTTCCCTCCATTCCAGGCAACATCCTGGTAAATCTCTTCTGCACCTTTTCCAACGCTTCCACATCTTTCCTGCAATAAGGCGACCAGAACTAGACATAATACTCCAGATGTGGCCGAACCAGGCTTTTGTATAGCTGGAGCATAACTTCACGGCTCTTGAACCCAATCCCTCTATTAATGAAAGCTAACACACCATACGCCTTCTTAACAACTATATCCACGTGGATGGCAGCTTTCAGGGAACTGTGGACATGAACCCCAAGATCCGTCTGCTCCTCCACATTGCCAAGAATCTTTCCATTAGCCCTGTATTCTGCTTTCAAATTTGTCCTTCCAAAATGAATCAACTCACACTTCTCAGGGTTAAACTCCATCTGCCACTTCTCAACCCTGCTCTGCATCCTATCAATGTCCCTTTGTATCCTAGAACAGCCCTCCACACTATCCACAACTCGACCCACCTTCGTATCGTCCTCAAACTTACTAATCCATCCTTCCACTCCTACATTCAAATCATTTACAAAAATCACAAATAGAAGAGGACCCAGAACAGATCCTTGTGGTACACCACTCGTAACTGAGCACCATGTTGAATATTTTCTGCCCACTACCACCCTTTGCCTTCTAAGGGTCAGCCAATTCTGAATCCAATCTGCCACATTTCATCCTATCCCATGCCTCCTTACTTTCTGCATGACCCCACCATGGGGAACCTTATCAAACGCCTTACTTAAATCCATGTATACCACATCCGCTGCTCCTCCTTCATCCACGTGTTTGGTCACCTCTTCAAAGAATTCAATAACGTTTGTGAGGCATGATCTACCCCTCACAAATCCATGCTGACTATCACGAATCAAACTGTGCCTATCCAAGCGATCATAAATCCTATCTCTCAGAGCCCTTTCCAATAATTTGCCCACCAATGATGTAAGACTAACTGGCCTGTAATTTCTGGGGTTATCCCTATTCCCTTTTTTAAACTGGGGAATGACGTTTGCCACTCTCCAATCTCCCGATGCTATACCTGTGGACAGTGAGGACGAAAAGATCATTGCCAAAGGCCCTGCGACCTCTTCCCTCGCTTCGCATAGAATCTTTGGCTAAATCCCTTCAGGCCCGGGGGACTTATCTGTCTTCAAGTTCCTCAAAATTCCTCGTACATCTTCCTTTCTAACATCCACCTCCTCTAGCCTACCAGCCTGTTTCGCACTGTCCTCCTCTACAAGTAGGTCCCTCTCAGTTGTGAATACCAAAGAAAAGTATTCATTAAGGACCTCTCCTATCTCTTTAGGCTCCGTGCACAAATTCCCTTTACAATCCTTGATCGGCCCTACCCTTTCTCTGGTCATTCTCTTATTCCTCACGTACGTGAAAAAAGCCTTGGGGTTTTCCTTGATCCTATGTGCCAAGGTTTTCTCATGCCCCCTTATAGCTCTCCTAAGCCCTTTCTTCATCTCCTTCCTGGCTAACTTGTCTCCCTCTAGAGCTTTTTCTGATCCTTGTTTCCTAAACCTTATATAAGCATCCTTCTTCCTCTTAACTAGTCGTTTGACCTCTCTTGAGAACCAAGGCTCCCTCACTCGACCGTATCTTCCCTGCCTGCTAGGGACAAACATATCAAGGACACGCAGTATGCATTCCTTAAACAATCTCCACATTTCTATAGTGCTCTTCCCTGACAGCACTTGTTTCCACTTTATGTTACCCAGTTCTTGCCTAACAGAATTATAATTACCTTTCCCCCAATTATAAACCTTACCCTGCTGTATGTACCTATCCTTTTCCATGGCTATTGTAAAAGTAACAGAGTTATGATCGCTACTGCCAAAATGCTGTCCTACCAACAGGTCTAACACTTGGCCCGGTTCATTTCCAAGCACCAAATCCAAAGTGGCCTCTCCTCATGTTGGTCTATCTACATATTGTGTCAGGAATCCTTCCTGAACGCACTGGACAAAATCCACTCCATCTAAACTATTACAACTAAAAAGTTTCCAATCAATATTTGGAAAGTTGAAGTCACCCATGGCTATAACCCTGTGACTTCTGCACCTTTCCAGTATCTGCCTCCCAATCCGCTCCTCCACTTCTCTGCAACTATTAGGGGGTCTGTAAAAAAAACCCAACAAAGTGACTGCTCCTTTCTTGTTCCTGACCTCAACCCAAACTGACTCTGTAGACATATCTTTCTCGAACTGCCTTTCAGTAGCTGCTATACTAGCCCTAACTAGCAATTCCACTACCCCGCCTCACCCTCCCTATTTCTTTTAAAGCATCTAAACCCCGAAACTTCCAACAACCATTCCTGTCTCTGAGTTACCCAAGTTTCTGTAAATTTCAATCAGGCATGACTATATTGAATGATGGAGTAGCATGATTGAGGGGTCAAATGGTTTCTCCCAGTCCTAATTGTATATTTGTGTGCCCTCTATTCTCAAGGCAGTTTCAAAAAATTTGCATTGCCAAATTCTTTGTAGAAGCTCTTAAATTCTGTTTCTTAATCTCTCGCTAGGTCCACTTTGTCAATTTTTTGGTCATCCTTTGCTTATTTATAAAGTCTGCTGATCCTCAGGTTTCTGTGCTTTTCAAAACAAAACTGTACGCCTCTTGTTTTAATCTAATACCATGCTGAAATTCTCTGGTTAGCTATGGTTCTTTTACCATGGAATTTTTAGTCTTGAAGGAATTTGTTATTCATTGAGAGTAATAATTTTTTTCTTGATGTTGCAGTTTCTTATCTTTCATCATAAATTAATCGCATTTCCCAATCTGAGCCAATTCACCCTTGTACCTTCACAATTGCCCTTGCTTAAACTGAAGACTCATTTCAGATTTATTGATTACCACCTTATTCCCAAACTCAAAATGAAATTCTATAGAGGATCTTGTACGATCATTTGTTAAAATTAAAAGTCTTATTAGACAACAGAACTAAAATAGCCTGTTCCTTGGTTGACTTCTCAACATATTATTCTCAAAAACTGCCCTGAATACACTCCATAACCTCATCCTTCGAAGTACATTTGGTTTGTCTGCTCAGAGCCATCCACAATCTCTGCATCACCCCCTTGTTACAATGCAGCTCGACCTTGTTGATTTACATTCTGTTGGTAAGGCACTTAAGAAAGCACATGGGGTTCATTGTCTTATTCGGGATGGGTTTGAAACAAGATTTGTAAAGAAAGCAGAGGGAGATAGTGTGAGCCCAGAATTCAGCATAATACTCCAGGGGAGACTTAACCAGTGTTTTATTAAAGTTCATCATAATTTCTTTGCTTTTGTACTCTATGCTTCTATTAATAAAACCAAGAATCATATTTACTTTTAAATAGCTTCCTTAAATTGTACTGAAATCTTTAAAGATTTTTGTATATACATTTTCCCAAACCCACCATCTCTCTGTTTCTGTGCCCCTTTAAAACTGGGCCATTTAGTTGAGATTGTCCCTCCTCATTCCCCCTACCAAAATACACCACAGTACAGTTTTGTATTGAATTTCATGTGTCCATTTCACCAGCCTGCCTGCATCTTTGTGAGTCTGTTGCCCTCCTCCTCACTGTTTACAGCAAGGAGTTGATGATTCTGCAAAGCTGTGACTGTCAGGAACACTGAAGGGAAAACAAAATGCCCCAGAATTAAAAAGCAGCTCAGTCAGACTAATGGGCGGCTTTTCTCGATTCCAGAATTTTCTGAAACAATATCAGAAAATGATGAAAGCACTCAGCAGTTCAGTCGACGTCTGGTGGAGAAGTAGAAGGTTCGTTTTAGATTGATGACCTTTTAATGGAACAGTTCTGATGAGAGCTCAAACATTAATTCTCTTTCCACTCACACTAACTGACCTGCTGAGTATTTCCAGCATTTTCTGTTTCTATTTCAGATTTCCAGCCTCTGTAGGCTATACCTTTAATTAATGGCTGTTACATAATTTACATATTCATTTATAATTTACAACAGCATTGATCCCACTCTGCAGCTTCTCTCCGATTCTTCCCCTATCTCACCCTGTTTCCAAGCTCATTCCTTCCCTCTCCTGTTCCCTTCAGTTCCTCTCCTTTCAATTCCTCTCCAGTCAGCGAATCCCTCATTCCCATCTCTCCCGAAGCCCCTGAAGCACTCACCTGTTGAACCCTGACTCATAGACATATCACCACCCAACCATTCACCCATTGCGTTCTGACCCAGAAACTCGTCATTTCCTAAACCTTGCACCTCTCATGACTGGGTCAGGCTCTGATCCCTCACTAATTGCCCCCTTTCATCCTTGGCTCACTCTCCCCTCTCTGCTCCCAGTGATGGGTTCTGCTGCAATTGGAATGGAGGTGACGTGAAGCTGGGCCAGGGATGTGAGGATCCCAGTTCAAAGATTCTGATTTTAATGTTTGTGAAGCCACAGAGATCGGAAGACCCCAATCTATGCTACCCTACAAGGAAAGACAAAAACCTTGTAACTGGTCCAGGAGGGTGCTCCCAAGGAGAATGGGGCCAGGATCCAGCTCCTGGATTTAAGATCCAAGTTTGGTTGTGCAACAGAATTGACACATACACCCTTACTCTACTTAGGATTGCAGGATATAATTTGCATATTTAAAGAGGCCACATTTCCTTCTTGAAAATGTGTCAATAGAGTGGGATCATTTGGGAATATGGTGGGTTTGATGGAAGTTACTGACACCCATTAATTTAGTCATTCAGTTTCTGGCCTTGCGTGTCCTGTGATGAAAAATGTTTTTTAAAAGAAATCAACGCACCAGATTCCAGACACCCCTGTATATTAAATGTTGGCATGCGTCTCAGTGAAGATTGGCACTGGAGTAATCGCTGTGATTAAGGTTCCTGCAGCTGCACCCAAACAACCTCTCTCTCTCTAATGAAGCATTGAGTGTCAGCCACCCTTATGGGAATCTTGCTGTCACTGTACTCAGGTCCAGCAAATCTTTCTGCGGGTCGAAGTTAATTCCCATTCCTAATTAAGCCAAGTCAGAGAGACAGCACCACAGATGCTGCCCTGAAGTTCCCTGGTCTCTCACAGCTTGTTGGTACAGATAGCCAGACATTTCAATGCATGGTTAAACTATGAGTCAGCCAAGGATGCAACATGAAGACACTTCAGTCCCCTTTATCCCCAGGAAAGTGAGCAGGAAGGTGCACCACTGTTAGTCAATGAGCAGCTGGAGCAGACAAGCTGAAAGCACAGGACACACAACAAGGCGACACAGTGACAGCATTAGTGACTGTGCTCGATGAGCAGAAGCTACCTTCTCATGCTCCTCTTTGCTCAAACTCAATGCAATCTGCAGCTGGATTTCTTCATCAGACTCTGTGCTTGGCTGCTACAAGGTGTAAAAGCCGGGGTTAGCAAGTACATCACGGACTCAATGCTCGAACACAGGCTAACATCACGGGAACATAAGCTAATGACAGAGGAACACAGGCTAATGTCTGAAGAACCCTTACATTGAGCCAATTCTGTTCTGACATCACATGACCACCTACCACAAACTGTCCCATCCATACACGTTTGCCAATGGTTGCTTCACATGTCAATCCTTGTAAAACTCCATCGCATAAAATTGGAAAATGAAGGGATTGTTACCTAATTGGAGATTGTCTGTCAGGCAAATTGGTGTTGTTCACAGAAGTTCTCTATCTAACCATAGAATCATGAGGGTGAATAACCAAAGTCTTTTTCCCAGGGTAGGGGAGTCCAAAAGTAAAGAGCATAGGTGAAGAGGGAAAGATTTCAAGGGGTCAGAGAAGGTGGTGGAGGCTGGTATAAATATAACATTTAAAAGGCATCTGGATGGGTACATGAATATGAAGGTTTAGAGGGATATGGGCCAAATGCTGGCAAATGGGACTAGATGAATTTAGAATATCTGGTCAGCATGGATGAGTTGGACCAAAGGATCTGTTTCTGTGCTATACATCTATGACTCTAATAAACACCTGTTCAAAACATATTGTAAAATAGAATCAACTTATTTTAATGCCCTAATGAACTGCTCACAGGAGATTAGATGTGGATTAGATCCATCCAGGTGAAATGCTATGTGTGTGAACTCTCAGTGTGACTAACAAACTGAGATGAATGATTTACTTCCTTTCCACACTGCCACTAGCTTTCCTCATGGGGGTGAGAAACTTCTGGAAACTTCAATCAAAACCCATTCTTAATATGAGCCCCTGCAATGAGTGGTGCATGCCATCAGGACAGGGTTAACATCAGTACCCATCACTGTGTTAGCCAACATCCACACAGCAGCATATCTAACAGAACTCACTGAGCAGGGTTAGTGTGTGCAGCCTTGGCTGACTTGCCTCTCCATCAACAGGGCACCCTGAGGCAGCCTGACTGGGTAATGAAGCTAGGAACCACAGGCTCCTTTCACACAGTTACACACCAGCATTTCATAACTATGCAGGGGTCAGTAGTTATCCACATGTGCAAGCATCACAGCAGTCTATTACACATAGGCAAAGGGAAATGATGCAGCTAAGTCCACAAGAATGAAAGATTGTCATAGCTCCACTCACTGTCTGTCCTGGGGGTATTTGATGGGACACTATTAGAGGGGTTTGTTCTGTACATCTATTATGGGGGTGGAGGGGTGGGGGTGGGGTTAAAGGTTATTTGATGCTGATCCAACCTGTACATTAAAACCTCAAATTCTGAATCAGATATGTAATAGCCCAGCTAGAGATGCAGTTAGCTCAGTTGGCTGGCTGATGAGTGGAGCCAATATGTAGGTTCAATTCCCACACAGGCTGAGGTTCCCATTAAGGAATCTCAGTCTCAGTCTCTCCCTTTACCTGAGGCATGGTGACCCTCAGGTTTAAGCCACCACCAGCTGTTTTCTCTCTCTCTCTAGTGGGAGAGCAGCCTATGATTTGGTAAAACTACAGTGACTTTCCTTTAATTCATCTACCAAATGTGAGTTTGTCTAAATCCAGTCACAGTGCTCCAATGAAACAGCCCTTGCCTTCTCATTCGTGCCCTCTGAATCCCTATAGGGGATAAGGGTTCAGACCCCATGTGTCCAAACAAGCAGACATCACATTAAAGGAATGAGGGACATGTTGGCATAACATTCCCAAGATTTTATTCTTGATTTCCAAGGAAATGCAGCATTGTATTAACAAATACATTTTTTTAAATAGAGTACAGTGTGGGAAAATGTGAAGTTGTTCATTTTGGAAGGGAGAACAAAAGAATAGCATATTGTTTAAATGGAGAGAAACTGCAGAAAGCTGCAACACAAAGGGACTTGGGGGGACTTGTACACAAAACACAGAAAGCTCACACACAGGGGCAGCAGGTAATCAGGAAGGCTGATGGAATGTTGGCCCTTATTTCAAAGGGTTGGAGTATAAGATGAGGGATTGTTTATCTACAACCACACAAGGTATACAATCTGGAGTACTGTGAGCAGTTTTGGTTTCCTTATTTAAGAAAAGGTATCATTTAATTGGAGGCAGCTCATTCCTGAAATGGAGAGTTTGCCTTATAAGCAAAGGCTAAACAGGTTGGGACTCTACTCACCAGAGTTTACAAGAATGAGAGATGATCTCATTGAAACATACAGACTTCTTAAGAAACTTGACAGGGTAAATGCACAGAGGATGTTTCCCCTCGTGGGAGAGTCTAGGACCAGATGTCTTTGCCTTAGAATAAAGGGGCATCAATTTAAGGCTGAGTTGAGCAGGAATGTCTTCTCTCAGAGGTTTGTGAATCTTTTGAACCCCTTGCCTCAGAGAGCCGTAGGGGCAGAGTCCTTGGTATATTTAAGGCTGAGCCAGATTCCTGATCAGGAGGGGAATCAAGAGTTACAGGGAAAATTCTGGGGAGTGGATGCGAGGAGTGTTGGATCAGCCACGATCCCATCTAAAAAAGGAGCAGACCCGAGCGGCCTTACCGCCAACAGAAGTGGCTGGAAAAGCTCAGCAGGTTTCAAGTCCGGTGACACTTCCTCAGAACTGGTCACCGGACCCGAAACGTTAACTCTGATTTTTTTCTTCACAGATGCTGCCAAACCTGCTGAGCTTTTCCAGCACCTTCTGTTTTTGTTCCTGATTTATAGCATCCGCAGTTCCTTCGGTCTTACCATCAATTTTAACACTTCAAATAACAGTTAAAATTTCAATGCTACTGGCATGCAGTTATACCGTTTATTCACCAGGCGGCAGTGTGCAGCTGTTCTGACTAGGCAGGGCCAGCTCTCTCTAACTGACTGTTAGCAACAGCTCACTTTCTTACTCCCTCTCAACAATTAACTGCTCAGTGTCAAATTTCAGCCTCGTTAACGGACCTGTGAGTGTCAGCTCTCTCCCTCGCTGAATGGCTTTTCAGTGACAGCACTCTCCCATACTATCTGACCAGACAGTGCCAGCTCTCTGTATCTGACCAGGCAGTGTCAGATCTCTATAACTGAGCAGGCAATGCAGGTTCTCTCTGACTGGGCAGTGCTGGCTCTCTGTAACTGACCGGGCAATGCTAGCTCTGTATCTAATAGGGCAATGCTAGCTCTCTGTATCTAATAGGGCAATGCTAGCTCTCTGTATCTGACCGGACAGTGCCAGCTGTATCTCTAGCTGACTAATGATAGCCACCATCAATTCTATTGGAGGAGGGAGGCTTGCACAATGATATAGTGCATTATATACAAGGCTGAAGATGCACAGAAACAAAGATAAATTTTCATTGCGAGGCTGAGCCAGCATGCTCCTGGCTAAAGCACAGAACTGCTCAGAGTAAGTCTGAAGCATCCAGTACTTACTGCTGTTAAATGAAGCTCTGAAATAGTCCCCAGGAATGCAGTGTCATTGACCTTACTCCCTGGTGGCAACTGGTTTCAGTTTGCATTTCATAATCAACAAAGCCTGACTGTTACTTATTTGTGAATGATTGATTTCCTTTTCTTTCGCATCTTTCACAACCGTAGGATAAATCAAACAGCTTTACAACCAATGCAGCAATTGTGAACTAAGTCACTGCTGTAGTTTAGAAATCAGTCACTTTGTACATTGCAACGTCCCACAAACAATGTGACAATGACCAAATGATCTGTTTTACTGACGCTTGGTGAAGGACACCAGGAAGAATCCCTCATCTTCAAATTGTACCATAGGATCTCTCACAGCCACCTGAGAAGATGGAAAATGCCTAGGCTTAAGATCTCATGCAAAAGACTACACCAGACATACCCTCCAACAGTGCAGCGCTCCCTTAGCACTGATCCTCCAACAGTGCAGCGCTCCTTCAGCACTGGCCCTCCAACATACAGCACTCCTTCAGCACTGACCCTCCAATAATGCAGCATTCCCTCACTGCTGACCCTCCAATAAAGCAACATTCCTTCAGCGCTGATCCTCCAACAATGCAGCTCTCTCTCAGTACTGACCCTCTAACATACAGCACACCTTCAGCACTGACCCTCCAACATACAGCACTCCTTCAGCACTGACCCTCCAATAGTGTAGCATTCCCTCAGTGCTGACCCTCCAACAATGCAGCACTCCCACAGTACTGACCCTCTAACATGCAGCACTCCCTCAGTACTGACTCTCCGACAATGCAGCGCTCCCTCAGTGCTCACTCTTTGAAAGTGCAGCACCCATCAGTACTGACCCTCCGACAGTACAGTACTCCCTCAATACCGACCCTCCAACAATGCAGTGCTCCCTCAGTATTAACCCTCCAACAGTGCAGTGCTCCCTCAGTACTGACGCTCTGATAGTGTAAGTGCTCCATCAGTACTGACCCTCCAACAGCGCAGCACTCCCTCAGTGCTGACCCTCCACCAGTGCAGTGCTTCCTCAGTGCTGATTGTCTGACAGTGTAGCACTCCCTCAGTACTAACCCTCCCGCAGTGCAGCGCTTCCTCAGTACTGACCCTCCAAATGTGCAGCACTCCCTCAACCCTGACCTTCCAACAGTGTGGCACTCTCTCAGTACTGACCCTGCAACAGTACGGCACTCCCTCAGTACGGACCCTCCAACACTGCAGCGTCCACTCAGTACTGACCCTCCGACAATGCAGCACACTCTCAGTGCTGACCCACCGACAGTGCAGCGCTCCCTCAATACTGACCCTCCGACAATGCGGCACTCCCTCAATACTGACCCTTCGACAGTGTGGCACTCCATCAGTGCTGACCCTCCAGCAGTGCAGCGCTCCCTCAGTACTAATCCTCTGACAAAGCAGCACTTCCTCAATGCTGATCCTCCGACAGTGTAGCGCTCCCTCAGTAGTAACCCTCTCACAGTGCAGCGCAACCTCAGCCCTGACCTTCCAAATGTGCAGCACTACCTGAGCCCTGACCTTCCAACAGTGTGGCACTCTCCAGTACTGACCCTGCGACAGTGCGGCTCTCCCTCAGTGCTGACATTCTCTTAGTTATTACGATAAGGGATGCGATTAGAAAGGGGGGATTGCAGATCAGAAAAACAATACGTGGTATCTATTGGGTGAAACAACGAAATGGCAAAGGGCAGCAGACCTTAGTTGGAGTTATTTAAAGGCCACCAAACAGTAGTGGTAGTGTAGGGCATGCTATAAATCAGATAATGAGAGAAGCTTGTTGCTTGGGTGACTTCAATCTGCATACAGACTAAGGTAAATTAGTTCAGCAGTAAAACTGTAGAGGGCAAGTTTCTGGAGTGTGTTAGGGACAGCCTTCTCGACCAGCACGTTGGAAGTCAGGATATTTTGGATCTAGTATTTTGTCATGAAAAAGGACTAATTAATAATCTGGAAAAAAAGCCCTTTAACGATGAGTGACCATGTAATGATAGAATCTTACATTGTGTGTAAAAGTGAGCTGATTCAATCTGATACAAGGGTGTTAAATTTGAACAAGAGAAATCAGGAAAGCATGAGTGACAAGTTAACTGCGTTGGATTGGGAAAATACTTTACAAGGTGTGACTGCACATGGTAAATGGACTGGTTTTGAAAAGTGACGACATGGCTCACAGCAACTATACATCTTTTCAAGATGCACAATCTCAAAAAATATCAGTCAACCATGGCTAACAAAGGAAGTTAAGGATTGTAGAAGTTTAAAAGAAGAGATTATAAATTGGCCAGAAATTGTAATAAATCTGAGGATTGGAAAGTTTTTAGAATATGGCGAAGAAGGACCAAGAAATTAAAAAGGAGAGGATGTATAATATACAAATGCAAACTAGCAAAGAATATTAAAATGGATTGTAAAAGCTCCTACAGGTTCATAAAGGAAACATTTGGCTAAGACGGATGCGGGTTTACCAAAGGCAGAGTAAGGATGATTTATAACGGGGAATAGAGAACTGGCAGAGCAACTAAATGATTATTTTGCATCTGAGGAATATACAAGAAATCTCCCAGAATTAGACAGTAGTGAAGTCTTGCTTTAGTTGTACAGCAGCTTGGTTAGACTACATCTGGAGTATTGTGTGTAGTTCTGGTCTCCTTATCTCAGGAAAGATATTATTGTCATAGAGACTGCGTAATGAATGTTCACCAGACTTGTTCCCAGGATGGTGGGACAGTCCTGTGATGAGAGATTGGGCAAACTGGACCTGTATTCTATAAAGTTTCAAAGAATGAGACGTGATCACATTGAAAGCTACAAAATGTTTAGATAGATTGACAGGTTGGCTTAGGTAAAATGGCTCCCCTGGTTGGGGATTTAGAACCGGGGGTCACAATTTAACAATAACGAGGATGCCACTTTGGACAGAAATGAGCAGAATTTGTTTGACTCCGAGGCTGGTGAATTTTTGGAATTGTCTATCCCAGAGGACTATGGAGGCTCAGTCATTGAGACTAATGTAGAGGTTGATAAATAATTGATTTCTGCTGGCGTACAGGGTTATGGGGATAGTGTGAGTGAAAGGATTGAAGTGTTCAATCAGTCATGATCATGTTAGTTAGGAGAGCAGGCTCGATGGGCTGAATGGCCTACCCCATTCCCATGCCCCTCATACTGACACAATGCAGCGCTGTCTCAGGACTGACCCTCTGACAGTGCAGCAGTCCCTCAGTACTGATCGTTCACAGTGTAGTGTCCCCTCCACATTGACCATTGCCTCCGATCCTCTGACTGTGTGAACAAGCACACAGTGAACGGAGAGCTGCTGGGCTGATTGGGGCAGGTTGGGAACAGGCGAAGTTGAAACCGTTGGCGGATGGAGGAATCTGCTGCCCGGGTGGTTGCTTTTACCTGAGTTGCCTTCTCAGCTTCCTCCCTGCTCATTGCCAGCGCCAGCTGTAACTGCAGTTCCTCTTCACCACTGGTGTGGGGTCTGGCCTGCTCCAGATCCGGGTTGAACCTCGGAGAAGAGGGAGAAGCTGCAAAACAAACGGAGAAACATCAACATTCGGACATTGGAGGCTGCACTGGGAAAAGCCTGTAATGTCCCAGCACTCTGTCCCTACCCTGGGCTAGCAGGTGTTGTTTGTGGGTGGGGAGCTGGTTGTAGCTCATCTGTCAGGTTACTCTTGTAACACTGATAGTCTGATCGGTAGCGAGGAGACTGGGCTCATTTACAGGTCATTTAAAACGAAGCAAATGAGGACAACAGCTCGTGTTACTGAACAAACACTGAATCGGTTCTGCAGAGATCACTTAGTGGCTCGGACCATTTCAGATGGTGTTCAGGTTAGGATTCTTCAGCAGGAGCAGAGTGGGATGGACTGAGTCCAATCACTGGCCAGTCAGCTCAGAGCTTCCACTCACAACACCACAGAAGAAAACCTGAAAGCAGGGCGAGGTGGGTCATTGGAGTGTCTCCATGGGAGTTTGGCGGTGGGGGGTGGGGTGGCGGTGAGGGGGGCTCGGTTTTGACAGAAGGAGTTCCAGGTTGGGCGAGATTGGGATAGAAAGTCTGTGCTATGTTCAGGGCAGAGACTGCGTGAGTGGGTGCAGGTGGGAGAGTGGGGTTCATGAGGAGTGACGGGGGTTCAAGGAGAGACTGTGGGTTTTGGGGTAAATGTGGGATTCAGTCCAGAGACTAGAATTTGGGGGTGAGTAGGGTTTGGTGGGGGAGGTGGTTTTGGGGGGGGGAGTGGGGTTTTGGGGAGGGGGGAGTGGGGTTGGGAGGGGAGAGTGGTTTCACCAAGAGAAAGTGAATTTTGGGAGTAGAGAAATGGAATCAGGTGCAGAAAGTGTTGCTCAGGGAGAGAATCTAGTTCATCTGGAAAGAGTGGGGTTCACCAGGAGAACAAGTACAGGAGGAGAGTGTGGGCAAATGGAGAGAGAGGGGGCTTTAGGAGGAGAGTGTTGGCAAATGGAGAGAAAGGGCTTTAGCAGGAAAGAAGGTGAAGGAGAGAGACAGTTTTCAATGAATCTCTTTGTGATGAACTGAAGTCACTGTAAGCTGCAGGCAGTGGTGCTGTAGTGGTTCTGTCGAGCTTCTCTGTATTAGTTAGCTGTGAGAGGGAAAGGAAAGGAGCTCAGAGGAGGGCCTGAGGGGATGGGGATGACCTTTTCAATAGGTCAGGTACATGCTTTTCGCTGACTTCTACAAACTAGCAGTGACAATGGAACCAAGCACTGCACAAAGTTTCACATTTTATTTGTTTGTTGATAGAAGAGAGAAGTCAATGATCTCAAAGCCTCAACCTCATCGTAAACTCTCACACACTATTTACTATTCAAGAAAAGGAGACAGCTGCTCTGAACACCCAGAATGTTGGAGGGCTGTTGAATGTAAACAGCTAACAGACTTAAATAATTCATATAGTGGGAAGATCGTACTCATGACAGAGGGTCACACACATCACCCACTGACTGAGTGAGAAATTGAGTTCCAGGTTCACCTCACTCAGGAGGAGCTGTCTCTTTGAGCACTCTGTGACAATAAAACATCAACTTCAGATTCTCACAGAGTCTGAGGGGAGAGGTCAGGAACTTTATCACAGAACTTATACACTTAATGGTAAGGTCCTGGGGAGTGTTGCTGAACAAAGAGACCTTGGAGTGCAGGTTTATTGTTCCTTGAAAGTGAAATCCTAGGTAGACAGGATAGTGAAGAAGGCGTATGGCATGCTTGCCTTCATTGGTCAGTGCATTGACTATAGGAGTTGACGGGTCATGTTGTGGCTGTACAGGACATTGGTTAGGCCACTGTTTGGAATATTGCATTCAATTCTGGACTCTCTGCTATAGGAAGGATGTTGTGACACTTCAGAGGATTAGAAAAGATTTACAAGATTGTTGCCAGGTTGGAGAGTTTGAGCTATAGGGAGACGGTGAATAGGCTGGGTCTGTTTTCCCTGGAGCATCGGAGGCTGAGGGGTGACCTCATAGAGGTTTATAATATCATGATGGGCAAGGATAGTGTAACTAGCCAAGGTCTTTTCCCCGGGGTAGGGGAGTCCAAAACTAGAGGGTGTAGATTTAAGGTGAAAGGGGAAAGATTTAAAAGGGACCTAAGGGGCAACTTTTTGACCCAGAGGATGGTGCATGGTATTGAATTAGCTGCCAGATGAAGTGGTGGAGTCTGGTATTACAATGTTTAAAAGGCATCTGGATGGGTATATGAACAGGAAGGGTTTAGAGGGAAAAAGGGCCAAATGCTGCAAATGGGACTAGATTAATTTAGGATATCTGGTCAGTGTGGACGAGCTGGACTAAAGGGTTGTTCCCATGCTGTACAGCTCTATGACTCTATGACTCTCAATAAAAATATTTCACAGAGGAAAATTACCAGATCACTGAATGCTAGTTAGGAATTGGATAGGAAACACCGAGTGTGACTGAGGGCGGGGATTTGGATGGGGTACTATGTGAGTGTGTGTGTGTGTGTGTCTGAGGATAGTTGGGTGGCATACAGTGTGTGTGAGGGAGGGGGGTTGGATGGGGTACAGTGTGTGTGAGGGAGGGGGGTTGCATGGGGTACAGTATGATGTTTTAAATTTCATCTGCCCATTTTGGCAGACTAAATCCTTCTGAACTCTATTAGTATTTTTCAATTTTACTATTCTCCTCTTCACTATAAATTCAAAGTCTCATGCCATCAACAAACTTTGAAATGAAGTCTTTTCTACCAAAGTCAGGTTCCTCACGTACATCAAAACAGTAATAGCTCCAACACTGTCCCCTTTAGAACACATTCCATTGTATCCTTCTCTCTAAACCCAAAAAAACTGCTGGGTACCATCACTCTCTGCTAACTGTCTCTTAATCATTTTTTTTATCCACGCTGCCTGTACCCTTCAATTATTGTAAGAAGTCTGGTGATACTCTGTCAAACATCTTTTGTAAGTCAACATACACATCAAAAGAATTCAAATGGGTTTGTCAAACATGATGAATTGTCTTTCAGAATGCTTGTGGATTTTAATTTAGCAGCCCACATCTTTCCCATCTGAGAAGATGCTGTAATGACAATAATGGAAACGTGGATCTGAAATGCTGCTCAGTATTCAAGATTACAAATTGTTTTGAAAAGATGGGGAAGTTAAGGAGGGAGGTGGTGTGGGTGTACGGCATAGGGTTGGGACAAGAGGTTGTCCCTGGCATAACTTGGTTGGACCTGAAAAGGGGAGTCATGTATAGGTCACCAATGTGTGTGTTTGTGTGTGTGTGTGTGTGTGTGTGTGTGTGTGTTTGTAGTGAGAGAGGAGAGAGAGAGGGAAATGCAGGGAAATCACAGATCAGAGAACTTTAATTACCTAAATGATGATTGGAATAATATTTGTCTAAACGAAAACTTCCTGGACCATGACATTTCAGTTCAACTGAAAAGGAGGCATTGTTGGTGCGTTAGTGGTGGGTAAGTTGTTGGAGGGGATTTTGAGGGACAGGATTTACATGCATTTGGAAAGGCAACAACTGATTAGGGACAGTCAACATGGCTGCGTGTATGGAAATCATGTCTCACAAACTTGATTGAGCTTTTTGAAGAGGTGACAAACAAGATTGATGAAGGTAGAACAGGAGACGTTGCTACATGGACTTCAGCAAAGCGTTTGACAAGGTTCTACGTAGTAGCCTGGCTAGTAAAGTTAGACCACGTGGAATCCAGGGGAGCTAACCAATTGGATACAAAATTGGCTTGAAGATAGGCAGTGGTAGAGGGTTGCTTTTCGGACTGGAGGCCTGTAACCAGCAGTATGCCACAGGATCATAGAATTCCTACAGTGTGGAAACACGCCAAACAAGTCCAAGCTGCCCCTCTGAAGAGCATCCCACCTAGACCTATTCCCCTAACCCTGCATTTCCCATGTCTAACCCACCTAACCTATACATCCCTGGGCACTATGGGCAATTTAGCACGGCCAATGCACCTAGCCTGCACATCTTTGGACTGTAGGAGGAAACCAGAGCACCCACGCAGACACGGGGACAATGTGCAAACTCCACACAGACAGTCACTCGAGACTGGGATCGAACCTGGGTTCCTGGTGCTGTGAGGCAGCAGTGCTAACCACTGACCCATCGTGCTGCTCAGTCAACTCTTGATCATTCGTGAAAGGTAATGGAAGGTGACACAACAGCACCTGCTAGCAATAACCTGCTCAGTGATGCCCAGTTTGCGTTTTGCCAGGGCCACTCAGCTCCTGACCTCAGTACAGCCTTAGTTCAAATATGGACAAAAGGTCTGAATTCCAAAAGCGAGGTATGATTGACTGCCCTTGACATCTTTGACTGAGTGTGGCAACATGGAGCCCTAGCATTACTGCTTTTCATCATTCATATAAATGATTTGGATGTGAATATAGGAGCTTTGGTTAGTAGGTTTGCAGATGACACCAAAATAGGTGGTTTGGTGGACAGTGAAGAAGATTATATCAGAGTACAACAGGATGTTGGTCAGATGGGCCAATGGGCCAACAAATGGAGGTGGAGTTTGCTTTAGATAAATGTGAGGTGTTGTATTTTGGTAAGATAAATCAGGGCAGGACTTATACAGTTAATGGTAGGGTCCTGGGGGAGTGTTGCCAAACAAAAAGACCTAGGGGTGCAGGCACATAGTTCCTTGAAAGCAGGTGGACAGGATGGTGAAGAAGGCCTTTGACACTCTTGCTTCTTTGGTCAAAACACTGAGTATAGGCATAGGGATGTCACATTGCGATTGTACAGGACATTGGTGAGGTCACTTTTTGAATACTGCATACAATTTTGGTCGTACTTCTATAGGAAAGATGTTGTAAACTTGAAAGGGTGGAGAAACAATTTACAAGAATGTTGTTGGGACTGGAGGGTTTGAGCTATAGGGAAAGGCTGAATAGGCTGAGGCTATTTTCTGTGGAGGTGTTGGAGGCTGAGGGGCGACGTTATAGAGGTTTATAAAGTCATGAGGGGCATGGATAGGATGAATAGCCAAGGTCTAGGATGGGGAAGT